ACTGTTTGGTGGAACCCTAACTTTCTGTGAGAACATGATGGGCTTTCAGAACAGATTAAGTGGGGTGGGGAGTTCATTCCAACACAGCCAACTTTCTATCACTAGAGTTTGCCTCTTGGCCAGGGAATCCAATATTTTTTTTCTTAACAGGTTTTGTGGCCTGAAAAGTTTGAAAGTCCCTGGATTAGACAACGTCTTTCATCCTACCTGAGATGAGCATACTAGAGGTACAGACTGTGTGATCATATTTTAAATCATTAGTTTAATGGCCTTGATGGACAAGTCTTGATCTATTTGATCATTGCACATAGTGAATTCTACTTTGGATGGGATATTTTGCATTCAGTGTACATATTTTTATTATTGAAATTGTACCCTTTCTGCATATATGAACACACACAGAAGCTGCTTAAAGCAATTAAAATATGAATGGCAAAATACAACGATAAAATCTGTACAGTTGCAATCAAAATGAAAAAATAATAATAAAATTGGTAACATTAAAATAATTATTAAGTTTGGTGAAAAAGAAGCATTTTCACTATTTTCCTAAATACTGGAAGAGTCCCACAGGAGAAGGCTCTTTTCAGCATGCCAAACAGATGAGCAGAGCTGGAAAAAATGCAAAAAGGGGGATAAAAAGGAACAGGGATTTCAAACAGTAATATAATAGAACATAATTAACTTTTGGCATTCATGGCCACAAGACTTGGGGATTACCACTAACTGGGATTTTTCTAAAAGGGAAGTGGATAAATTCATACTGAAAAGATCTATCAAAGTTTATTGGTCCTGAAGATTCAGTGTTGCCTCTGATTTGAGGGCAGCCTGACCCCCAATACCAGCTGCCAGGGAATAACAATAGGAGGGTCTATGCCTCTGTCTCCTGTGTGCAAGCACCTCAGACCTGGTTAAGTCACTGAGAAACCAAATGCTGGACTAAGATGGGTCTTGGCTTGATCCAAGGGGGAAGTTCCCTTATATTCTGGCAGCAGGGATATCTTCAGGAGCCCTGTCCTGCTGATCTAAGTGATTGATTATGTACCATTAAGTTGATATCGACTCTTAGTGACCACATAGATTTTCTCTACGATAATCAGTCCCCAACCTGGTCTTCCAGGTGCCCTCATCACCACTGTAACTGAATCTATCTGGCTTGCTGTTGGTCATCATCTTCTTCTCTTTTCTTCCATCCTTCCCAGTGTTATAGAGAGGGAGAGCAAGGTCTTGCATCCAAAGTATGATCCTTTGAGCCTGATCCTTTGTGCTGTGAAAGAGAACTCTGGCTTTATTTGTTCAGTGATCCGGGTCTTTGTTTTCTTGGCTATCCATGGTATTCTCGGGAGTTTTCTCCAGAACCAACGTTCACGAGCGTCAATAATCTTTCTATCCCGCTTCTTCAAAGTCCAATTTTATTTTCATAGAGTGTCACGGGGAACACTATGGCCTGCATGATTCTAATCTTTGTAGGTTTAAACACTTCACTGCATCTGAATATCTTTTCCAAAGCCTTCATCGTCATCCTACTAATGTGCTAGTGTACAATGTATTTCTTGACTGTTGGTTCCTTTGTTGTTGAGAGTATAAATGCAGAAGATCAATATCTTCATTGTCAATTCTAAAGCTGATTGCTGTTCTTTTGCATCGGTGGCTGGAGCATAAAGACGTATTTGAGATGGTTACTTTCCTGGGCCCCTCCAGGTGATCTTAAGAGCCAATTCACAGTTTGGATTTTCTGGTCTGAGTACAAAACAGAACTGAGTTTAAAGGAGGAAATGGACAGCAGGGAGGTTCTAACTGGGAAATGCTTGATTCATATCCAGAAATACTGGAGTGAGAAGCAAAAGATTTGTTGCTTCCAGGGAACAGAAGATTGGTAGTTTCCCCTAGGCCCTGGGAGGTGCATCTAGTTCCTGCTAAATGCAAGGTCCCTGCCCTTTGCTAGTTACTGCAGGAAAACCCTGCATTTTAAGTATGCACATGGCATTTATGGTTAGCTGCATGCCGCTTATGCAATTTGCCCTTAAAACGTGAGTGCCCCACATCTGAGTTTTGGTTCTGAACTGCTTTTTTATTCTGTTTTTAGTTCTGTGTCTTTTATAATTTCAAAGTTTTAATAATAATTTGTATATTGTTTTTAACGTTGTACAGAGCCCAGAGTCACTGGACAGTGAGATGGGCAGCTATATAAATATGACAAATAAATAAAATGAATAAAATATGGTCAGTCATCATATTAAAGGGTTGTCCACAAAGTCTCATTGATATTATTGTGTCATTGATTGCATTGTAGCCAAGTGTAGTCCTGGCTATATCTCACTTCTTTGTTTTTCATATTCTGGTTAGTAAACAGTGTGGTCTTCTGACTGAAAGTGTCCAGTCTCAGTTCACTGATCCCTAAAAGTTAATCTGCAGTTGATTCTTTTCGTATTTTGCACTGCTGAGCTTTCCCATGCCCGTGCTTCTTATGCTCCATCTTTCCACTTTAAGTCTATCTTTTCAGTTTCAGTTTTTATTTTTCTGCATGGCAACAGGCTTTAACCTAGAAACACCATAAGTACTCTGAAAGACCCTAAGATCAATTCAGTAGCATGTTGAGTGCCATCTGACTTGAGGGGCCCATTATTCGACGCTGCATCATCAATCACTTTACCTTGTCTATCAGTGTGGCTTTCTTGATAAAATACAGGAATGACCTTCTTCAGCACAGTATGAGATGATGCCTTTGCCACTGGCACTAAAGTGATGTTCTACCTCCATCCTCCTTCTATAGCACTGCTGCCCAGTATAGGTGCCTGCTTGGTACAGGTGAGCATCTGGGATGACCTTCATACCTTGGGTGACTCTGCTGGATTCTATATTCTGGGTATACACTTCTGGCATTCTTCACTCATCCCTCCCAGGAACACCCCCCGCCACAATCAGGCAGCACAGCAGGACTTAGGGGGGTGATCTAAATAATATGGCAGACTGGTAGTGGGGGAGACAATCCCTCACTTGCCTATGGAGGGCCTGGGACAGTCTCTTCCAAAGAAACATAGAACGTTGCCCAGGAACAAGATTGGTCCAAGCTTCTGAAGATCTACTTAAGTATTAAGGGCACTGGGAGAGCTAGTTTGGTGTAGTGGTTAAGGTACCAGGCTAGAAACTGGGAGACCATGAGTTCTAGTCCCGTCTTAGGCATGAAGCCAGCTGGGTGACTTTGGGCCAGTCATTCTCTCTCAGCCCTAGGAAGGAGGCAATGGCAAACCACTTCCAAAAAACCTTGCCAAGAAATCTGCAGGGACTTGTCCAGGCAGTTGCCAGGAGTCAACACTGACTCGAAGACACACACACCACAAAAATTAAAGGCACTAGAATTCCCTCACTTCTACAGGTTGTGTAGGAGCAGAGACTAGCAGTTTTCATGGGCTGTTTCCATAGCACCTTTAACCTAGCCAGCCATTAATCCAGCCCTATCTCCCCACCAATATTTCTGGTAGCAATTAGAATGACAGGGTCAAAACCAGTGGCTCCCAACTCTTCAGCTCATTGACCCCTCCATGAAGTTTCAGATTGTTCATTGACCCTCATGCTACTTTAACTAATAGTGGTATGAATAATAATAATAATAATAATAATAATAATAATAATAATAATTTTAGAACTGGAGAAAATCACAAAATATAAAGACCTGAAAATAGAAGTAGAGCGACTATGGCAAAAGAAAGCAAAGTTAGTACCAATAGTTATAGGCGCCTTGGGTGCAATCCCAAAACATCTGGAGCACCACTTGAAGACCATTGGCAGTGACAAAATCACCCTCAGTCACTTGCGAAAGGCAGCTTTACTTGGAACAGCTTATATCCTGCAACGACACCTTGAACACCATCAAACAACATCTGCCTATCTCAGGTTCTTGGGAAGGACTCGATAGGTGGATAAAAATGCCAAATCCAGTCTAAACGTCTGGCTGACTGTGTGACCAACTATAACAACAACAAAAACATTAATCTTGGATAATCCCACGGTAGACCATTTTTGTTTGGGAAGAGTCTTCTGTGATTCCAAATTATGGCAATTCTACCATATGATGATACAAAGAATTTTGAAGATTAATATTGAGATGAAACCGGAACTTTTCTTATTGGGACTTATGGATAGCCAACTGGAAAAGACTTATGAAAGACTGATTTTATATATGAAACTGCAGCAAGATTATTGTATGCACAAAGATGGAGAAATACAGAAACACCCACAATGGAGGAATGGATTGTGAAGATGGCAGAACTAGCAGAGATGGAAAAACTAACCTGTCTGGTCAGGGACTAAACATTAAATACTTTTATAAAAGATTGAAAACCTTTTATAGACTTTTTTGCTGAAAGTGGGAAAAAGTGAAATGCTGATTTCTGGGTTTGACGACTGAAAAAAAGATTGAATAAGGGGCTGAAGGGATTATTGTAATGGTAAGAAGGAGTTTGTAACTGCTATAAAGAAGGGCGGAAGTTACTTCTTTATCTTTCCCCCCCCTTTCTTTAATAGTATTCTTTTCTGCACTTTTTCTTTTCTGTTTTTCTTTATATACTTCTGTATTTGTCTTTTAGCTGTGTAAAAACTTTTAATAAAAATTTTAAAAAAATTAGGGCAATTCTATAATGGAGACGTTTGTTTTTCCATTGTTCTTCCTCCCCAGTGCTGCTTTCGACTGAACTAGGTGGCATACCTGAGTGAGGAGAATTAAGTTAACCCTCTGATGTGGCTAAATCTAAACTCCTTGAAATTAACTGACTTGACCATTAGACCCCTTTCTTGATGTTTCCGTAACACCCTTATATCGCTCCCTTCCACTGACCCAGTTAAACATGCAGTGGAACTGGGCCAATATTTCTGCTGAATGAACTCGGCAATTTCCCCTCCCACACAGAGAAACATATTCAGGCCTATTTTGTTCAGCCTTGTGGCTGAGTGGAAACATCTGCTTGTCCACTTCTAGTTTGTGTGGTAGGACTGGGTTTCCTGGTGGAAGCAGAAGTTTCAGCGAACATATTTTTTTTTTACGTCTGCCAGAAGCAGAAATACCTCAGATCCAAAAGAAGGCAGGCAGTTGAAGGTAGACGCTCGAGTATCTGGAATGGTGAAGGAAACGGAAACTTACAGAGGAGATCCGGTTGGATGAGGGGAAGAAGGTAAGAAGGGGAAGAAGGGTCTAAAGTAGTTCTAGAAGTGGACTGCTTTCAAGTGAGACAACAACTGGGAAGAAGGCAGAAGTAAGACCAGATGATTTCTGAAGGTGGAAAGGATTTGGTGAATGAGGAGGTCTGTGTGTGTGCTTTCAAGTCAGTGTTGACTCCTGGCGACTGCCTGGACAAGTCCCTGTAGTTTTCTTGATAAGATTTTGGAAGTGGTTTGCTCTTGCATCTTTCTTCCTAGGGCTGATGGAGAGAGACTGGCCTAAGGTTATTCAGCTGGATTTGTGCCTATAGTGGGACTAGAACTTACGGTCTCCTGGTTTCTAGCCTGGTGCCTTAACCATTACACCAGGCTGGCTCACAAATGAGGAGGTCCATGGCTTGTTATACAACTGCATTTATGGAGTGTATGTGAAGCCAGGGATGCTGATAGGCAATTGTAGAACTTGATCATATGGGGAGGGAAATGGATCATTAAATTGCAATGTACGTTGCCTCAGTTACTTGTGGGGCCTGTGGAGTGAACCCTGCAAATTTGTCCCACTTGTCTGCTGTAGAAGCACCACTGCTTAAATCCTTTAGGCTTTTAAAACACTGTATGTCTGTGTTTTTTGTAAGTGAAACTTCTGGTTACCCCTTCCAGGGTAACCTTTGGGGTTCCCATTAGGATCAGTTACAGGACAGGGATTTCCCTAAAATGATTTGTCCATCAGTCGGCAATCTGGTGCAAGATGTAATGAAGAGAAAAATGATGAAACATGTGATGTGACATCAGCCCCAGCATTTTGTACTTGGTGAAATAGTGATGATGATGATGATCTTGGGAAGGACTCAATTGGTAGATAAAAATGCCAAATCCAGTCTAAACATCTGGCTGACTGTGCGATCAACAATAGTAATAAAGTGTGCAGGATGATGTTGCAACCCACATTTTATCATTTGCACTGGATCGTTCCCTCTATGCCTCTGTCACTTCCATAAATCTTCTTCTGACATTTGTTCTCTGTCCTTTGTTTTTCAGAACCCTTCCCCAATGACAATGGACATTTTTTGTCGTTTTGGAGAGAAGACAGTAAATGCAGTTGGTAAGTATCGCAAAATCAAACTTCTTCAGAAGAGGAATCCATGTTCTAGAACTGGGGATGACCTTGGGGGCTTTCCAGATGGTGATTTAATTGCAAGTTGAAGCCACTGTTACTCCAAGCAAGCTCAACAACAACCCTTAGCAAGTCTTCTTGGAAATCAGAATTTTGAGACACATCCTGAGTCTGACAGCCCACTGAATATACATGTCCTAGGTGGTGGGATACTGTTAACAGTATGTTGGGTTGCAAGGTAGCCTCTAGATTAAAGATTGAGCTTGCATTGAATAGCATGATGATGGTTGGTGCTTATAGTATATTGGCTAAAATGTGTGAAAACCAATCAGCATTGTCCTTAACCATTACCAGGAAATGTTTCAAGAAGCAGGAGTATGATTAAGACTAGCAACTTAGGGTACTCTTCCCCTCTCTTACTAAAAAGCATGATGCGAAAGCCTTGATTGGCCAAAGGCCATGATGGGTGACACAGATCAATATCTATCAGCCTGTCAGCCATGGCATATGTAAGCCTCTATGAGTTCTACAATCTGCCATGAATCTGTTTGGACTACAGTATACAAATCCTATCTACATCTCTCTGTCTCTCTCTGTCTCTCTCCCTCTCCCTCTCTCTCTATCTCTAAGATTGCAACTTGGAATCTAAGAGAAATGAATGATAAAGATCATGAATCAGTGAATGAAATGAAAAGAAAAAGAAAAAAAAATGTATGTTGTATTTTTGTGAAATCAAGAGACAGAAAATACAGAACAGAATGATGGTGGCCTGATCCTGTGGAGTGGGGCTGATGAATAGAAGTATAGAAGTGATGGTATAGATTTAAGCATGAACAGAATGGCTAAAATGTGTGCCAGAAAGTATGAATGGCTATCATCTAGATTGTTGTGGGTGCATGTGGAAATAGGAGTTAAGAGATTGATGGTAGTTAGATATTGCATGCCAATGAACGGTGTTAACGAAAGAAACAGATGAGTTTTGAGGAGACATTGTGAAACCTTCTCAATGAATGGGATCAGTGGGACATAAATAGATAGAACAGGATGCGATGAGAGAGAGCGTAAAAAATGAATGGCCGAGACCCAATCAGCAACTAAATCTCAAAGTACGATGGCTGTGAGAATGCTGTAAAGCAGTAGTGCTGCAGCTGGCGTGGATGGTGTAACTGGAGAAACGTTAACATACGGAAGTGGTTTGCTTATGGAGAGGCTGTGCTGCTTGTTGAATGTGAGTCTGAAGACTATGCTTGTGTCTGATGATTGGAAGAAAGCTGATATTATTCTCCTACACTCAAAAAAGATAGCCAGAGTGTGTACCCAAAAGGGATTATTTGCCGGCGGGCCTTGGGAAACTGCTTGGCAGAATCGTGACTGAAAGATCATGAGTCACCATGAGCCAGAATTGAGAAGTGCACCCTGAGAAATGGATGCGTGTGAAAAAGGAAGTTTATTGTACATTTCTTGAGAGAAAAGATGTGATAAAATGAAGAGCCTTGAATTGTGGAAAGTTTTGTACTGTAATTATAGAATTATGGAAGTATGGAGTTCAGGGTTGGTTGCTGGATCTGGTAAGACTAGTTTATGGTGGAAGGAAGTTAGGCGTGAGATAAATGGAATATTTGGCGAATGGTTCATCAGTGGGCACTGACTAAGGCAAGAATGCAGGACGGATGGTTCGTGGTTGCTTAATTTATTTATAGATAAATGTGTAAGGAATGCTTGGGAAGGAACAATCAGAACATTAAACTCTACACGTTAGACTGAATTGGCATCTAGATTCTAATTTCATGTAAATATGAAAATGATGATGATGATGATGCAATGATTAAAAACCTCACATTCAATGAGAGCAAACTGTACAAATATCTAGTTTCTGTAGGGTTCAGATTATTCTCCATGGCAGAATATTTCAAACCAGGCCGTCTTTTCTGGTCCCCAGTGGCTCAGGGTACCACCCAGAATGGGGTGGAGGAGAGATTGCTAAAGCTTGACCACGACAAATACGAAACCCCGGTGTGCATAATCAAAAATAGCAAAACATTGTGACTGGTGCCAGGCAGAGAAACCTCCTTGCCGTCCTTCTACTCCTTCTCATTTCATCTGAGGGAAGTGATTTTGATTTCAGAATGTCTTTCAGAAGTGAAAAGGGTTTTGGTGAAGTTTATTTCGGTATTTGTCATTTATTTATTTATTTAAATGTATTGGCTGCCCAACTCCAGTGTGAGGGCTTACCCTTGGTTGCAAGGAGGTCAAAGGCTTATGTGAATGGCCTGACTCTGTAATGGAATGTGAGGGTGACTTTGGACGATGGGGTGGGGGGTGGGGGAGAAATGCTGTCTAGGGAACGATCTGAGAAAAGGGGGAGAAGCCCCCGACTGAGTAACGGACAGAGAAAGAAACTTAGGAAGGAGCTGCCCTAACTGATCAGGCAGTAAATAGGGGCGGCGGGAGATTTGTACTTTTGAGATTCTGTAAATATATGCTATTAGTAAAGTAGAAGTAGCTCATCTGGTTGTGTTTCCTGTCTGGTTTACCTGGGAGGACTGACATCAATCTTGAAAGTACAATTCTTCTGCTGTCCCTATTTACCGCCTGATCAGTCAGGGCGGCTCCTTCCTAAGTTTCTTTCTCTGTTACTCAGTTGGGGGCTCTTCCCCCTTTTCTCAGATCGTTCCCTAGGCAGCATCTCTTCCCACCCCCCACTCCCCATCCTCCAGGGTCATTCTTATATTCCATTGCAGTCTCTCACTGTACAATCATCTCAACCAGGTAGAAGAGCTGCACTTTTTCTCTTGATATTCAGAAAACCTTTGAGCATTTAACTCTTTGAAAAAGAGCATTCAGGGACTGAGGTCTGAATAGAAGAAAGTGGGATGTGTAGTGATGTGTTCTGATGGTATCTGATTTTGTGATTGTAGGACGATGGGTGCTTAGGGTTGAATTATTATGTTATTACGCTAATATTATACATTCTGATTATGGACTGACTACATGCCATCAAGTCGTTTTCGACTCTTAGTGACCACATAGAGAGATTTTCTCCATGATTCTGATTATACTACTATATTATTGTATATTCTGATGACTTGGCTTTATGCTTTTATGATATGCTATTTATTAGGGATACTGTATTATTGTATTTTCTGCTGCTTGTGAGCTGCTTACAGTTAAAATGATTGAAACAGTGTAAAAGTATTCATGAATGAATGAATGAATGAATGAATGAATGAATGAATGAGTTGAACCTCTAGGAGCTTCCAGCTCGTTGGGTTTGTACCATTCAGATATATCCTAAGGGAAGAATTCTTCCCACTAGATTTTTTTTTTTTTAACTTGGTTTCAGTGAGACATTGTTGGAGAATTTCTTCCTCTGGGGAAATTTGGAGAAATCATTCACCCAATTTCTCTGCCCACGAATCTAGTGGAGAACGTCACCATTTGGGCCCAGTTCTATCAATGCCTATTTAGATGTAAGTCTCATTAATTTCATCGGGGTTTACTTCCAGGTACGTGGTTATGGGAACTGCAGTTAGAATAGATTTCAGACTAGGCTTGCTGTCAAAATTCTCGTGAGTCATTCTTAGAAATGAATTTGAAACAACAAACAAACAAACAACAACATAGCTATCTTGCTACTGGCTGCTGTTGATTTTTCAATAAAATTGGAACCTTACTACAAGTCAGAAATCTGCCAGGAGACCCAAATCAACCTGCCATCAATTCCTTTTTTAGATTAAATGTTAAACATTTTGTAATTGCGCTGATTCTATTTTGTGATATAATTCCAATATCGTTCCAAACTAGTCATCCATCCATCTATCTATCTTCCTGTTAGGAAGAACATGGACACTCTCATGTCTATGGCAGATTGCTTTGGCCTGAAGGCCTCTCTTGGCCTTTGAGCATTTCCTAAAGGAAACTTTTGGGGGAAAAAGAGGACAAAGAAATGGCAATGTCATGGCAAAGCCAAAGTTTGGTTTAATTAAATTCAATATTTTTTTTTTAAACCCACAAATGTTATAGACTAAATATGGGATCATGTGTCTGCCCTTCACTGCTGCTCTGCAATCCCAGGGAAAGATGAGTTTGGAGGAAGGAATTGCAGATAGGTGCAACTCTAGGCACTGGCAAAGTTTGCCTTTGAATTCAATGTATAGCACGGCTCTAGTATTTGAAAATACTCCCATTCTGTCATATTCACCTTTTACAATTCAGTAGCAAGTGTTAGGAAATTCTCTGTAGGCCACATTTTGGGTACACCCAAAGATGTTGTCCATCTCTGTTCTGTAGCATAAAGCAGGGTGATGTGAATTTGGGTTATATCTAGAATAACCATCATAGACCAAATAATCGTTTTTGGATCCCTTCGATGAAACAAGGCTATCTAGTGGGACCCAGGGGGCATACCTGCTGTCTTGCATCATTCCCCCAAGGTTCAGATGGCTCTAAACCTTCTGTCCTTCCACAAGACCTGAAAAATCTGGCTCTTGCCCCAAACATTTGGCCAGACTGTGGGATGACCCCATATAGAACACAAGACCTTTGAATGGACAATATGTTGGTTGGCCTTGGTCACTTCTGTGATTCCATTTATTTTATTTATTTATTTATCATATTTATATACCTACCCATCTCACACAAGGTGACTCTGGGCGGCGTACGACAATTAAAAAATAAATACATAATTATTCCATAATTTTGTGGTGGTTGTTTTATGTCACAAAGGCTTAATAAAGTATAGTAAAGCACAGTGTATCATTTCATTTCATGTTTAAATTAGAAGTTGCCCAGCGTCTTCCTTCCAAATTGGGCAGCCATATAAATCAAATGAATGAGTGAATGAATGAATGAATTGGTCACGATAGACATAGTAATGGAAAAGGAGGGACCAGACTGCTCAGTGACGTCTTTCCTGATGAATCTGCTTGCAGAATTTGTTGTTCCATATTGGGCACTGTATGCTGCAGCTGGGGCTCTCTTCTTGATGTTGCTGGCAATTGTTGTCCTCTCCATATGCATGTGCAAGGCCTGTAAAATTGGTGAGTATCTGGAGTTGGGGGGACTCTTTAAATATGGGCACACAAATTTAGGCCCTCCAAAGATGGGAATAAAACCTTTTGAAATGCAGAATGCCTCTTTTTCCACTGGTCACTGGCCATAATGAAGTCTGTCCTGTTCTGTTCAGAACTCTATTTTCCAAGTTTTTGTAAAAAAGGAATCAGATTTTTTTTTTCACTGAATCCTCACTGGAAAAACAATAGCCCAAATTAGAACAGCTTCCTTTCATGGGGCTATTTTGAAATCAGAAAACTGATGTGCATCAGATCGAAAGGTTTCTAACATGATGGAGGTAAATGCATCTTTCTCTCACAAAAGATTTTTAATTAAAAAAATGGGAAACGTGATGGGAAAACATGCAAGGATTACAAATAAAAGTTCTCAACAGTTGGACTGCACTGAGTTGGGCTTGATGACCTAAATGGTTCCTTCAAACTTTATAATTCTATGACAGACTAGACCATGTTTCTCAGCTTTAACAACTCTAATGTTGTTAGAGGTTGGCTGGGGAATTCTAGGAGTTGAAGTCCACTCATCTTAGAGTTGCCAAGGTTGAGAAATACTGGACTAGACAATGTAAAGGAAATCTGTGGGATTTTTTGTCTTGGAAAATGCCATGATTCCCAAAAGTCTGTCATAGCCCAGATCCTCACGCTGGGTAGAATCTGCTTGTATTTGTCATCCCACTTAAAAATCTGCAAATCCTACCTCCTTTATCTATGACAGATGCATCCTAAAAGAATGTATATTTCTGATAGTTGAAAGTGGATGTAATATATGAAATTATATTGGGGAAAATTATATTTAAAATTATGTAAATGAAAGAAAGTGGACGTTCCTCTAGATCTGATTGCAATTGCTTTTCATAGTTGATGGAAGTAATTGCAACATCTAAATAATAAAAAAAAGACTTCAGTATATTCTTGATGATGCTAATTTGGGTTGGAAGTACATTTTCAAGGCAAAAATAGTGTGCATGGAAGATTGCGCTTAACCTTTACCTGTCTAATGTTTCTCATATATAAATTTCTGGGTGGAGTGATAAACTCTGATAACACAATATCTTTGCTGTCCATAGCTGAAAGACACCAGAATTCTAATCAGAATAATATGTTTTCTACCATCCTTTTGTCTTTGCAGTGAAGAAGCTAAAACGGTCACAGGTACGTACAGTGGGATTTAGAGTGGGATGAACAGAACATAGGGAGGTGAATTCTGAAAGATTTTGAAAACTTCTTGACATCCCAGTTCTCTGAAGTTAATGAAAAATTTAAAGACTGCTCCTCATGCCTGTCAACTTGGGGCAATGAGAGTCACTGGGAGTTGGGGGCATATAAATTAAATAAATGATGATGATGATGATGATGATGATGATGATGATGATGATGATGATGAAGAAGAAGATTGATGATGAAGATAAGGAAGTTTGGGGGAAACCTAAGGCTGGATTTGGTCTCAGCTTGGACATCAGCTAAGAGTTTCTGGTCCTCCTGTTCTGCACCTTGTGCTGATTGACTGATGCAGACTCCTGAAGTCCCAGATTAAATGTGACTTTCAGTTGCAGAAACTCACTGAGTGACTTTAAGCATTGCCCCTCAGCCCAACCTGCCCCACAAGGTGACGGCTGTAGCGCTAAGAGGAAGGGTGATTTAAACCTAACAGCAACAGATCCTGCAAACCTCAAGTCTATCCATGACTGATTTAGAGCAATGCGCAGAAACTTTTCAAAACACAAAGTTGCATGATGGTGGATGAAAAAAAAGTGTTTTTTTTTTAAATTCAATGGATGAAGCTTTGCAAGAGTTGGATAATCTTCCCCCCCCCCCTCAAGATCTCACACAAATTCACCCTGAGAATGTCAAAATCTATTTGATGCTTGGGGAATTGGGACAGTTTTAAACTTAAATTCAAAATGGTGAACTACTTTTTAATTTATGCAGGGAGTGGGAGACACCATCTAGGGGTGTTGTGAGTGCTTTGACACCTGGTAGGAAGGACGTCTCTTTTATGATGCCTTCACAATGGTCCAGAATTGAGGGTCCAGAATGCTCCCTCCTGGGAGAAAAAAATCATGAAGCTTGAAAACTAGCTAGTTGAGACTAGTTTAAACTGAACACCTGGATCTGGGGGTAAAAAAAACAACAACACTAGTGTGGCTGATGCTTTTTTGGCACTAAATGTTTCTCTAAATTCTTGTTCTTTCTTTTTCTTTTCTAAATTCTTGTACTAGTCCTTTATTTTTCTTGCCCTTTATTTATTTTGTGTTTTACTATTTGTCTTATCTTTTTTGGTTGCTGTATTGTAAGCCACCCAGAGTGATATGGAGCCAGGTGGCATTTAAATTGAACGAACTAAATTAAATTAGATTTGGTGCCCTTACTGTTTTTATTAGTGCCTCAGAACAGATCAAGTAAGAAATACTACTACCCTTTAACACCATCAAACAACATCTGCCTATCCCAGGGCCTT